TGGACCCTAACCCACAGCCCACGATGTTGGACCCTAACCCACAGCCCACGACGCTGGACCCTTACCCACAGCCTCGGGGGAAGTGGAGCCCATCATGCGGATGTACATGAGTCCCAGCAGCAGGAAGAAGAGGCAGGCGGCCGTCAGCAGGAACATGGACAGGTAGTGGGCGCTGATGCTGCTGGAGGACGGCAGCTCTTCTCTCCTGAACTGCAGCAGCAGATCATCTTCTGGTACCGACAGCTTCTTCTTGGCCACAAAGTGGTTCGGGACGGGGCTGTGGTTGGAATGGTTGGCCTTGGTGTGGGTCTGGGGCCGGCTCAGCAGGCGCGGTCTGAGCCCGATGGGGACCCGGTCCTCGCTGTGGACGTGGTGGTTTTTGTTGGCTTGTCCTGCGTGGTCCTCTCCGAGGGATGCGTAGCTCCTGTAGCTCCGGGAACCTCCTGCTGGCTCCAGATCCGACCTCTGAACTTCTTCAACCATGTTCTGATGCCCAGGCGAGTTCCTGGTTCTGCCTCCGACCCGGGAGGGAAACGGCCCAGCCGTGTGGCTCCGGACTCCCGAGCCCCTCCGGTCCTCCTCCTCGTCGGAGTCCGAGTACTCCCCAGCTAGTTTGCTGCGACCATTGACGGAGTGTGAAGCCTTCACTGGTTCCTGGTCTCTGGAGTTGTGGAGCTGTCTGGACCCGTGCCCACCGTCCCAGCCCGGCGGGACACCGGTGTGTCCGTCCTCTGGTGGGCTCTCGGCGTCATGCTGCCTGGGGGGATGAGCTCGAGGGGAACCCGAGCTTCCTCTGGCTTGCTGCGGACAAGTTGTGCTTCGGTTCAGCCTCCTGCCATGATTCAGGCCCTTCCGCTTCAGAGGCGCCTCCGCGTCGGACTCGTCGGAGCTGAAGCCGAGAACGGAAGACTTGGGGCCGGACCGTGCGCTCGTGCTCAGCTGCGTGACGTCATGTCTGACTGGCCTAGCTGCCGCCGAGCTAGCGGCGCTGCTAACGTTCCCGCCGCCGCGGCTCTTCGCTGCCCTGGGGCCTCGCAGCTGCTGCTCCTCACGGAGCTTCTTCAGTTTCTTCAGGTACACCGGCCGTGTGTGCTCGGTAACTGGGCCCGGAGTGAAGCCGAAGGTCTTGAGTTGTGAAAAAAGCTCTTCATCCGTTATCTGCGAGGACGCCATCTTGGGGAAATGTCATCAACAGAAGGTGGAGGTTCTTCTTCTACTGCGCCTTCTTCTTCTTCGCTGTTTTGTTGCGGATGACCTCCAGAGGAGTTGCATCACTGCCCCCACTGTCCACATGTAGAACAACACGTAGAGCCACGAAGCCTGGGTCCTGTTCGGGTTTCTCTTCGGCCACACAGACCCAGGCACTACATCATTCACCTTTCAGTATGTACACTGCATTAAGAAGTAACTTTACAATTAATTATCTTGTTTAATTACATAGCTTGATGGTGAACTCAAATGGATTATTGATAAATTAATTTGTATGCATCCTTTATGATTGTCTATTGCTGTCATCACTCTGTTAAATCAGGTCTCTCTTGTAAATGAGTCCCCGACACTCAATGGGACTAACCTGTAGAAATAAAGGTTGAATGAAAAAATAGAGGCATAAATATGAAGAAACCAGAGTTTAGTAATACTTCTAATTTTAATGTCCATTGTGGCACATTTATATTACACGAGTTACAAATGATGTAGAAGCCAGTCCGCACGCATCATATTTGTGGTAAAGAGGCTCTGAGGTTGATGAGAATCATTACGTCACAAGGTGCTAAGCAATAAACCCCCATCTCATTCAGAGCGGACTCTGGGGAGGACTCCCCCGCACGGTCCTGATCTCCTGGCTCCTGTGTGGATCGTTTCAGGAGGTTCTTCAACAGAATGGCAGAGCCCACGTTTAGACACAAGACGATGCAGGCCTCCTTCACGCTGCGGACACAAGGAAACTGTATGACAAACATCTCTTCCACTTCCTGACAAGAAATTAATTTGTCTTTCTGTAAATTACGCTAACACATGAATACTTAGATGATACTTCTCAGTGTTTGATACTAAACATTTGGTGAAATATTTCAAGTAAGGACACGCTGATTTATCAAAAGACTTTAAATTTAAGAACATAATAATAATATTAAAACTGATTGAATAACACCTTGTTCATGACAAATTTAAATACTGACAGATCACAAAAACTAAGAAAACTTTGGTGGATGACTTCTTTGATTTAACAACACTTCTGTGCAAACATTGTTAAACTGATGTAAAGTCAGTTTCTTCCCCCTGAAAGATCCGACACTGAAAAGAAAACGTGCTTGAGTTGAGCAGCAGAGTTGAGTTTGTGGACTGGACTCATGAAAAACCTACAGGTCCTTCTAAAAAAATGAGCATATTGTGATAAAGGTCATTATTTTCCATAATGTAATGATAAAAATGAAACTTTCATATATTTCAGATTCATTGCACACCAACTGAAATATTTCAGGTCTTTAATTGTTTTAATACTGATGATTATGGCATACAGCTCATGAAAACCCAAAATGCCTGTCCCAAAAAA